AGGAGCGAGGCTGTGCCTCCCCCTCCTGTCACCTGCCCTGGGGAACCCCAATATTAGTTCGGGTTAAAATTCACAGATACAAAACCTCCTATGAGCTGTGATGGCATTTGAAGGGGAGATCAAAGGTTTCTGTGTGTCTGTCAGATTTGAATCTCTCTTGGTTTTTTTATTCTTGATTTACAATCTGACGTTTCCCCCGTTAGTCTTGCAGCTGACTTGGGGAGAGATGACTTCCTTAAAAACTGGGCTGAGGAACTGAATTATTTATAGCGGCCGCTTTAAGCAAATACCTGACAGAAGTACAGGGAGGGGTTTTCAACAAAATTATCCTGCCATAAATGATATCTTGCCTTATTTTTAACTTCCCTCGGCTTGTAAGGGGGAGTTTTCTCCTGATGGCCCTTAGGGAGCCCACTTGGCTGATGCTTTCCCTGTGTCTTCATTGTTTTGATTGAGGAGAAACTGCTGCTGAGCCGAGACTAATGCGGGGGATGCCGAATCCTGGAGTCACTGCTCTGTGCAGAGGTGAAAGCTCTGCTTTGCAAAAGAACCTCCCTGACCTCTTTAGTTTTTGTTTTTCCCTGCAGGTCGTGATCCCGGTGGTCTCCGTGCAGCTGATCAAAAAGCACAAGACGGCTCGGCTGCTGCCCAACGGCTTGGCCATCACCACCACTGCCAGCAGAAAGGTAACGCCGGGTGCTTATGAGCCAGGTTCAAATAAAAACCTTGCAACTCCTTAAAAATGCGAGCAGGGGCGGGGTTCCGCCTGGCAGCTGGTGGAAAACTCGGCTGAATTTCCAGTTATTTAAGCACGAGGCACAGTTCGGGCATTCAGAGCAATCCGGTCGCAAGGTGTCCTCTGCGTCCCCTTGTGCCAATCCACAGGGATGTTTTCCTGTGGGAAGAGCAGCTGAGCGAAAGCAGCTCCAAGAAAAAAAAAAAATCTGGTCAGCTTTTCACAGGCTGCAAAAATAACGGCAGGGAAACCCCGCGGGGGGGACACGGCTCCTGAAGGAGCAGGAGATTCAAGGGCAGGACGTCTCAGCCTCGCGACGGGAGGGGGAATCTCTCCTGGCAGCCTCTCTCTTTTCTCTCACAGTACATCTTCGTATCCCTCATCTCGCGCGACAGCGTCTATGATGTCCTGAGGAGGGTCTGCACGCACCTGCAGGTACCCAGCTGCGTTTTCGGTGGCTGCCCATTTGTGCTTTTGGGGAGCCGAGCTCTTCGTCGCTGCTTCCAAGGCTTCCCAACGTCCTTGCTCCCCATGAGCTGTTGCTGGCCTTTTCTGGGTCACAGATGATGGCAGCAGAACTGGGAGTTTCTGCTCTCTCCCAGGGTGTGGATGTGAATTATTTATAATCTGGTCGTAATACTAGTTCTGCCACTCTGCACCTTGCTGCACTTTTTTGTTGTTGTTGTTTTTTTTTTCTCCCAGATCTAAAAGTTTGAAGGGGAGGAAAAATGGTCTGAAGTCAAAGTTTTAAGAAGCTGTATTTCATGGACTTGCCAGAAAAGCCGAAATTCCATTTTTGTGGGGCAAGGCAGCACTGCGATACCTCTTCCTTTCTCTTCACCCTTCTAGGTGTCAAGTAAGAAGAGCTTGAGTTTGAAGGAGCTGACAGAGGAGCCTGATGCTGTGTCACTGGTGAGGGTCAGGGCGGCTCTGGGAGAGGGAAGGACCCACATGAACTTGCCCTGTGGGCAGGAGAGCATCCGCCTGACCCCCGTGGTGGGTTTAACACCTTCCTGGCACCCTGGACCCAGGAGGGTGATAGGTGGGATGTCCCCCATGGCGGCCTGGTGGCATCTCGGGGGTTGACCACGCTGAGCTTTGAGGGACAAAGGACGTGGTGATCAGTATTTGGGGTGGGTGGGCAGGTCCTTCCTACCCTTTGTCCCCGTGGGGCCATTGTGGAGGACCAGCTCCTTTCAGGATGATGTCCTGGATGTTCTGGCAGTTGGTGGAGATGCAGTGAGGTCCAAATCCAAACGTGGCCCCACTGGGGCTGTTTCCTGCAGGAGGTGATTGTCCCTGAGGGCAAGTGGAGGAAGGTGTCGCCTGCTTCACTGTCACTGTCGCTGCCCGATGCCGACTACCAGTGCATCCACCGCACCTCTGTCAGCAGCCTGAGCGCCAAGGAGAGCTCCTTCACCTCTGAGGAGCCCCTGGTTTCAGGTTCGTGCTCTTCCCCACGTGCAGAGCTGAGTGTAAACTTCCATAAATAACGCGTTTGTGCATCCTCTGCTCTCGTGGAGGGGGTTTCCACCTTGTAGGCAAGCAGGGTTTGAGATTGGGGAATCACTGGTGGTGTCTTGGCGATGAGTTTTCCTGCCTGTGGGTTCTGAGCCCTTGGTGTGTGCCTGTAATAGCCAAGGAGGAATATTTGATGCTTGAAGGCTCGAGCGTCAGCCCGGTTGTCGCTGACTCCAGATTTGCCTTTCAGAAAGTGCAATAAACACGGAGGAGGAGCTGGAGGCGGAGCAGAGCTGCGTGGCGGAGCTGAGACCTTCTGACTACCAGCTCCTGAAGATCTTCATTGTGCTGTGAGTGTGGGGAGGATGGCGGGCGGGGGTTACGCTGGAATCGTCCATCTCAACCGGCCAGCTGCTGAGCTCTTGTTCCTCCGCTCCCAGGATCTGCCTCCTGGTCGTGTCCTCATCCTACTTGGCTTTCCTTCCGTCTGCAGCAGCAGCTCTGCTCTCTGAACCGGGACTACCTCTCCCGCGGACACAGGAGGTGAGGGATCCTTGGGGACGTTTTGGGTGAAAGGAGGACCTGAGGGAGGTTGTACGAAGCACCAGGGCTTTACCTGGGGCTAACGTGGCTGCTGGCATCAGCAAGGGATGGACGGGAGCGGCTTCCCTTGGGCTGGGGACATCAGGGGGTCTGGGACCGTGGGACCTGGGTTGGGTTATGGTGGCTCTGCTCAATCTTACCCCACTCTCTGCTTCCAGGTGACCGTTGCCCCCAAGATGCCAAGAGGGTGACACCCTACTTACGGATTGCAGTGCTGTGTCCCTCCCTGCCACAGCCTGATTTATTTCTCCCCTTTGGCCGGTAAAAATGGGACCAAGTATCTTCTCTCTTCCTCCAGCCGGCTCATGGCCACTGGTGCCAACTCCTTGTCCCGCTGGAAGCCCGTTTTCTCCCTG